CATTTGGAATTTAAATGGACGGATTCCGTATCAACAAAGACGATGGTATCTTTAGGAACCCTGTATCCACAGAGGGTTGTGTCTGTGAGCGTGACATGAGGAACTGCAAGTGGAACTACGTTTCCAACTCGAAGGGCTTCTATAATGGTTGCTTGGATGAGAGGCAGACGAGACCGGTTTTCCAAAGAAGGAGTCTGGTCACCAACTACTTCATCTAACTGCAGTTGAATGGCTTCTTGGTACTTTGGGTAGTTAACTAAGAATGCTAGCACCCATTTCATTGTCGTGCTTGTGGTTTCATAGCCTGCAGCAACCATATCTTCAATCGTGTTGATAAAGTAGTCATCAGTAAGGAGGGCGGTTCTATCCTCATTGCTCTCACTTTCAGCTTCAAGTTTGGCATGGAGGAGACCCGTAATTAAATCTTTTACTGGTTTCTCTGGATCAAAATTCCTTTTCCGTTCATTCAGAAATTTGCGAATTATATCAAACATTTCAAAGAAGGAGCTTAAAAAGCGTTCATAAACTTTTATTGGCAAGTACTGTGCCAAGGGGAAAAAATCTAAAATCGTGGCCATCTGAGAATCAGCAGCATTCGCTACTGATTCTACGTTTAATTTCAAAAGCTTGTTCAAATCTGGATTGCTTGTGTCGTAACCTTCTCCAAATGTGATGCCACAAATAACATCGGCAACAGCACGCATCAAGCAATCTGCAGGATTAAAGGGTTGTCCTTGCTGTTTCTCCATGGAGAGAACTAACTTTTCGGCTTGTGTATTAACACGTCTTTCTATCAGGGGGATGTCCGAGAGGTACTGGCGAAGAGCTGTGGTAAACAGCTTGCGATGAAGCTTCCAGCCAGGACCATAGTTACCAAAAATAATATCTTTACCTCCTGAAACATTCAGAAAGGGGGAAAATATGACACTTTTTTTAATAGCAATGATTTCAAGTGACGGTTTTTCTGGTCTTGTATTGGTGTGAAAACCAGCCTCATAGGTACAAAAAGGTGATCGAGACATTTAAACTATGATGAATGATGGATGTAATTCAACCCCATATTTACTACCTGAGACTGAACTCAAATCCCGCCCCCGAGTTTTGTCTTGAACGAATTGTGTAACAAAGGTCCTTGGATGTGAAATGTACTCATCTTATAAAAGATGCCTTTTCAATATTTATGAATTTTTTTCTTAAATTAGAGCGACATCACGATCGCCTAAATGTTTCCAAATTACATACCAAGTGTTCCTTCCATTAACGAGTATGTTTGTTGTCTCCCAGCATAGTCAGCGGATGTCTTTATGAGCACCTCCTTAACAGCATCAGGAGTTGAAGCCATAACGAACTTGTAGCTTCCAAGTTTCATCGAGAATACGCGGCCTTAGTTGTCTTTGAGACTGGAGGAAAAGTAGAGTGGTATTGTTTGTGCAACAATTTATTATGCTTTCTTCTGAAATATCTACTACAAGGAAATGATTATGTTATGTTCTTTGTACTTGACTACGGAGAGTTCTTATGAGTTCTACAAGTTTCAAAAGTTATATTTTGCAGAAGATTAAGCGGAACGGCACATCGACTACGTACATGTAGGCCAAAAATTAAATTTTAAATGAGACGAGCCAAACAGTAATTTGGGTTGACATAAACTAAAGTAATTCCCCAAAAAAGGATAAACTGTCCAGATTCTTTTCAAACTTGGCACAATTGATAATCGTGTATAGGACATTGAAAAAAGGCAGAAGATAGTTTGAAACAAATGAAAAACGATCGCTTAGCTCACTTGATTTTTCATAAAGAGGACTGGACAAAACTGCCATCCTGGTTTAAGAGCTGTTCGCCAGTCTTACGCGGAGTCCTACCGCAGTATTTTGAGTACAGTGAGTTTATTGTACGGTTCGAAAACGTTTGTCCTTCTGATGTAGATCTATTTATTCTTGTACTTTCATTTAGAAACCTTGAAAATTTTAGCTGTCTGTTGTATCAGATGCACAGCCACTCATTAAAATAATCACGTGACCATGCCCCCGACCGACCGTCCGTTCGCACCACAGGGAAACCAATGTTCAATCTCACACTTTCCAGGTAGTTTGGAAGCACAGGAAAACTGATAGTGCACATCAATGTTGTGATCAATTGACAGCTGTCGAAACAGAGTATCCGCTGACTAGTATCATCTGACGGTATCGCGGGCTCACGTGTTCACCCGTCGAGGTCGAGTATTTTTTGAAGTTTTCCACTGACAAGTTACTAAATTTCAAATGATCGCGGGCTCAAGCTTATTATTACTTTTTTATTTCATGAAATATGTTGTGTTTGTGTGCTGCACAATTATTCAAACTGACCTCGGACGCGAAAATTCTGTAAGCTATTACAGGCAGGGAAGACAGCTGCTTTTGACTTTTCTCACCACGGTCACGCGTTGGTCACGCTCTACGTCCAATTTTTATGCTCTGATTGGTCAAAACTTGACAGGTGAGTCCATGCGGAAAATTTATGCAGCATCTTGAAACTTGCTTACTTTGACAGCTGAAGCTGACAAAGTTTTGTGTCAACTTGTGATGTTTTTAACTGTCTTTTCAATTCTACTGGATGTACAAAATGAAATTCGGCTGTTATCAAGAGTCTTCTGTTATTCATGGCTAGTTTGTCTATTGGGTTTTTGGTTTAGAAATACTTCACTTGTCAAAGTCGGAAATCCGATTTCGGATGGCATCGTTTTCTTTTTTCACCTTGCTTGATACATAAGAGGGTTGAAAAGTCTGAAGCGATTCTAACCTCACTTGATAGCTTCCAGAAGCTGCATCTTGAATGGTAAGCCTGAGTAATTATTGTATTTTATGTTTGTTTCTAACGTCTAATTTAACGAAGTCGAGCGTAGTTTATGCGATTATTTAGTTTATGCACGTTTGTAAAATTTGAGACAATCGGATCTGACCGAGTATCAGGTTTGATGTGAGCTTACAGAACTTTAAAAAGCCTTTAGACATTTTCTCACCGAAAATAGAAAGAAAGGCGTTCCAAAGAATATTTTGTTATAATTCTGGCTGTGAAAGAAAGCTTTGAGCGATTTTCTTGCCTCAAGTTCATCTTCGGAGGCACTCGAACGGCACTCGATCACTCACTCACTCACTCACTCGATTCTCATTAATTTATTCATTAAAGTCAAATTAAACACTTTACTCTTACCTCCCTTACTTAGTATTACTTTTGTTCCAGGTGCCTTTTACGCATATGTTTGGCATATTCTAGAGGGTACTAGTAAGGCGTACATTTTTTCCCCACACAAAAGAGTAGCCAGCCGATGACGGGTTTTTGTAGTGGAAATATTCTAAAGAACACTGACAATATCATCTCGAAGGAATGGACTTGGAATTGTTAAAAGGACGTTGAAATAATTGAGCGCGGATCATTGTTGTATATTTGCACGAATTGTGCACATTTGTTCTCGATATTACTTGATATGGAGAAGATGCGATCGACAGGAGTGTGAAAGAACTATCGAAGCCTGACGATGGGATTTCGTTCAGCGAAAAGCGAATAAGCCAAAGAGCCTTAGCTGCAAAGAAAAGATCCTCGAATTGTAAAGCGACGTTGACGTTCACATGAGAAAGCAAATTATTTTACAAGTAAAAAGCGTTAAGTAGAATTGCTGCGCTGATAACAAGTTTCTAGAATATTCAGGTGCACATGCATGCAATCAGATACTTCGACTGTGTCGGGTTTGAATTCCTAAGGTCAGAACACGTACAGCTTCGGGCAAGGATCTAGCTCCCTTAAAAGCGTGAGTGCTATATAGATGCCAAAAAGTTACCGAAGAAATGCTGACGAAATACGAAATGCTTTTTAAAACCGACACTGTATGCCAAAAAGCAGATGTCAAAAACCAAATGCTAAAGAATGTAAACATGATCTATCAAGTAACCAACACACAGAGAAAGAAAAACTAAGGTGGAAAGTGAATATGTTACAATGCCCAAGAAGTTTAAAACAATGAATTTCAAAACGGAATGTTTCTCAAGCCTTCTACTAACTATAAATACAGAGGTAATAATCTTCAACATTCGGTTGTCAACAATAACGAAATTTAATCACGAAATTCAAGAGCAGTGGCACTTTGCACCCATGCTCGTTTACGATTCAATTAATCCATGAGCTCGTTCCTAGGAGCCTTTGATTATAACAGTAGATGGAACAAACTTTGGCGTATGGTAAGCAGAAAGTTCGGTTCACTCTGGACCAAGAATCAATCAAATCTTAACATGAGGTTCTATTTGTTAACTTACAATATTCACTATTGTTTTTACATGTTATTGGTAGAAAGCGGGTCAGTCGACCTTAACTAACTGGGACTGTGAAAGAAAAAACATTGTCACGTTCATGGAGTTTTTTTACTTCTAAAAGAGATATATAGGCTAAAAACGCTACATTGAGCACGTACCTGTACGTAGCCCGATTCTCCGATGGCCAAAGGTTGGCTCTTGAAGAGCGTAAACCGTCGGAGAATCATTTTAACATGCACGCCAAACTAGGAGGTATTAAATGAAAGCGAATTATTCTATTCCTACTAACGGCTTGCAAATTCAGGCACTCCTCAAGCAAGTTGCTCTGATACTGTGAATTATCGACGAAACGTTTGCTGTATTAACCCTAATGGGTGAAACGGGCATTACACATTTTTACTGACCTTTGGAAAGCATCGTTAAGTTTCTTCGCCTTGAGGTCGAGGGAAAGAAAGTTTCCTAATATGGGAAGAGTAGTAAAGCGCGGACCTGGAGGCATGTTTCTGAACTCGTACAGGATCATCAGGTAATGTAAAATGAAAAACAAAAGCAACAAAAGGAGAATATTTCCGAGGCTTAAGAAATTGTAAATCGTGGCAAGGACCATGTTGGATGGTAGTGTTGTGATAGAATCACTGATCAGCTCATTTAATACTGGATGACCGCTGAGCAAAAGCGTCTATCTAATTTTGCTTAAAGGCAGTCACGCAACGGCCCCCAGTAATGATCAACAACACAAATTTGAAAAAATTAACTAATTAACTAGAACAGGTCTCTCACCCTACTTTTCTTCTGCCAAAATAAACAGAATTAATCACCTTTATCAAAGTGCCGACGACCAAAACATGCTACCGAACTTTTATAATCATGGCAAATTCTAGTTATGCATGCCATGCCTTCGAGTCACGTTCGAGTGGCATACCGTGAATTATCTCACGAGACAACTTGATTTGCAATCTTGTCCTATGCCAATCATGGTCGATAACCATGGCGAAGTATTGGTTATTCCCACTGCCCATAGCGCAATCAATTCTAATAAAAAGGAAAATAAGAAACAAAAGAGAAGTAGAAGAAAATCGCTCCTAATCTCGTGCTCAATGTTTCAAAAACTAAGTGTGTACTATTTACATCTCAAAGGCATATAGAGCGTGATTGCAATTTAAATCTTAGTTTTCTCGGAAAGTTCATATCTTGCGAAACTACTTTTAAATACCTTGGCGTGGTCACGGTTCGACAACTTTATGACTTGGAGGGCTCAAGCGGACAACACACGGACTATGTGTGTAAAAAGGTGGCGTCAAGAGTTAGTATCCTGGGCCGTGTTAGAAGTTTCGTCACAAAAGAGGCAGCAACTTATTCACAACGCTTTAATTCTTCCGTTATTTGATTGCTGTGACTTTGCCTGGAGTAACCTTCAACACCAAGATATAGATCGACTACAGCGCCTACAGAACAAATCTGCAGGGATCATCACACGTTGCTCTCGCCCATCTGAAGCATCAGACCAGCTATTGTGGCTGATCCAGGGGAGGGGCCAAAAAAGTGTGGTGTATTAAAACCTTCCTTACCCCCCCAAAATATAATAATTACATATGAAAGTTTTACCCCCCCCTTGGCAAAAACAGTTTTTGAAATGCACTGCCCCCCTTCCAACCCCTTCTAGACCAAGTCTCTTCTTCCATCCTTGGGCATTGATTTCATAAGCTGTAAGATACCGGTAGTCAGCAGTGTAACGTGAGATTTTGAAGCTGCACGCAGGGAAAAAGTTAGCGCGCCGAAGGCGCCTCAAACCTGAGGGAGTCCATCTCTTGCGTTTCCTGCATTTGATATTTTTGGTACATAAAGACGAAGGAAAATGCAGTAATTAGTTGTTTATTTTAGCCATCTCTAGTATTATCGGTAAGGTACAGTGTTTACGGCAAAAAAGAGTAAAACAGTGACGCCATTAAGGAGGTTACAAGCAAAGGGCGAAATGTGTACCCTTCAGACAGGCAAACTCTGTTATAATGCCATCAATATCAATTACGTCATTGTGCTCATATGCAGAATTGCAAGGGAACTCAATCTCTCTTCTGTCATGGTCCCTCGTAAAGGAGTTTGCAGTCTCTTCATACTGCTGAGGCTAGGCTCAGCTGTGCATGTTGACAGATATACTCCGTGATAGAATTGGAGTTGGCTTGGACAAAAGTCTCAATCAAGGTCTGTGGCTCCCCATTCGGATCCATTTCACTCCACGTAATCAGTAAAAGGATAAAGGAAATTCTAACACAAAAGCACCAATATAATGCGAAATATTTATCCCGATTTAATGATAAAAATGCTTTCAGGAAATAAAAAAAGCTGTGTACTTTTCCAGATTCCAACAGTATGCATAGGCGTATGTGCGTACATGTACACTATACTCCTGCAAGAGAGAATAGAGCTTTATCCTCTCTTGATTCCTGGCAGGAGAAATAGCTGATAGGTTCCAGGGCCAAGCTTTGTACGGGTAACATTTTTTTGCTGACAAAGAACCGCCAAAGCGTATTTTTCTGTCTACAGTAGTTTTGAAGGAAACATAAATATGGTACATAAGGGGCCAGTCCTGTGTCTTAATCTTTCGACCCCCCTCACATTTTGCGCATTTTTAAAATTGACCCCCCAAAATCAAGCCTCTTAGAAAATTGTACCCCCCTCTAACCCCCCCCTCCTCTTAAGGCTCTTTAAATGTAATAGTTCATGAAAATTCTTAATCTAAATTAATTTTTTAAGATACAGGACCCCTATGGAGACCAGCCTTAGAGCTGAATGCGCTACCCTGTGTAAATAAGGTTTTACTTTACTTTACTCTAATGCTTTATTATTTAGCTTAAAGGAGCTGTGTCACGAAATTTATCAAACTTCACTGAAAAAGTGGGAACTGCCATCAAATTGAACTTCAAAATAACCGCTCAGGTCACAGTTCCTGAAAGGCCGATTAGCGTTAATCCAGGATTATAATTTTGTTGCGTTTTTGTATTTTACATTCCTATGCATTGTTGAAGGTAACATTGTGTTATCATTACCGTATCTCGTAGTAAAGGCTCAACAGTAGATTGTAACCTCGAGTTGAGTTAGACGAGACAATCTTGCTTGAAATTTGGCTTAATGCTGGGTTTAACTTAAACCGGGCCCAGAACGTTAAAAAAAGTATAAATACCATAGCAATTACAAAAGGAAGCGTGGAAGGACAAACTTGAAGAAGATTGAAACAGATTCCAATTGTGATTTTTGAAAACTTGATAGCCTAACATTTTTTCAAAGTTCATTTTTGTTGTTTGTAACTTTTGATAAAATGCTTGATTTTGCCATTCAAAAGTAGTTTCTAAAAATTAATAGCAGCTAATACAAATGTGTAACTGGCATAGATAAACAAAATGAACTATTCAGTCCTGACACAACCCTTTTAAAGAAGATTTGTAACAAACGGCCTCTAAATGATCTTTCTATTATTTCATTATTGCCCATAATACCCCTTACTTACCCCCTATCCCAACCCCCCCAAACACTCCACCAAGAAAAGAATTACATAACCATTGTTTCCAATTTCCCCTGGGGAGAACACTCGTCGGGAGAGAAATTAAAAACAATGGTGATGCAATATGAAAATGGTAAATAATTACTGCTAAGAGTCAAAAAAGCAGAAGAAAACCGTCGCGAGTCAAGTGAAGATAAACAGTTTTCCTTTTTATAAAACATTTCGCGCCAAAAACAGGGTGTTCGGTAGGATCCAGCCTCCCATCGTCCGATAGTGCGGTAGTAGGTAATAACGTCGGTGGTGATCATCTTGTATTGATCAGCGATCAAGAGGAAAATGGTCTATGAAAAACGTTTTTACTTCGAAAATGTACATATTCCAGAGCACTTTCAATTAGCAATTATTGATAAGGCTGAGTAGGTTATGAAGAATTCTGCAGATCGAGGAGGGTGTTATCCAGCGAGGCCGAAGGCGGAGTTGGATAACACCCTCCGAGATCTGCAGAATTCTTCATATCCTGCGATAGCCGAATTCAATTATTGCTTTATTATTCATTCAAAATAATTCCAACTTTAAAAACAAGCTAAAAATGCTTGCCTCGATGTTAAGTTCACATGGATAGTGCATTTTTGGGGGGAAATTTTGCAGATAAAGGTCTGCTCAGGTCTGCAAATATACTCTAAATAGCAGGTGTTGTCCGTCGAGTTGACTTCTCGCTGTTCTTGCTATGTTTTTAGACAATATTTCGCCGTGAAACGAGTACAATGTCCGCCCGAGATTTCCGCCATTTTGTTCAGACAACAAAAACAACTCAACTTCGTTCCCAAGTTTCCTCGGTCAATGGTTCAGTATGACAAATTATTGAACCGATGACGTCATCGGTTCAATATGACAGTTTAGCCACCGGTTATGGTGAATTATGCGTGTGGTTTTACCCAATCAGAAATGGGGAAATATTTATCATAACAATAGATATTAGACAGCGATTACCATAATTACCAGCCTTGTTCGATATTCGACTTGTCGCTTACATCTTCGTAAACAGTATTACAGCTTTTCTTTTACCAGTTTCTACATGAAAACGAAGAAAGAATTCATTGCATATATTTTGTGTCAACTTTGACTCAAATCAAAAGTGTTGTAAAAGTGTAGTTTTTGTATTTGACTTTATCTTTGACGTACGTCAAAGGTGAAGTCATAATTGTTTCGTATTTGACTTCACCTTCACCAAGGTCAAAGGAGTAAGCAAAGAGGTTATATATTTGGTGGCACCACTGAAACGCGTCAAAGGTGAATTCAGAGCCGACTACCACATATGACTTTACCTTTGACAAAGATCAAAAGGCCAATAACTCCAATTCTTCGTCTCGTGTAATGTTAAGACATTATTAAGACTGTGCTTTTACTTTATACTTGCTATCTCAGAAACCCTGAATAACAGGGTTCATGTTCACTTTCTTTTGATCGCGCGTATCTTGTAGGGAACTGGAAATTGGGTGAGGTTGAAAATTCCCTCCAACTTTGGGGGACGACCATCTTCTTCAGCAACAAAGGTAAACTTCTGAAGCATCCACGACATGAACAAAAACAGCTCAACTTTCGCCAGAGATTCCCCTGCACAAACCCGTCGTCCAGCTCCAAAAGGGAAGAAATTACCTTGGTTGGTGATTAACTGCCCGTCTTCGTCAATGTGACGGTACGGATTAAAAACGGTGGGATCTTCCCAACATTTGGGATCTAAATGAACTGATTCTGTGTCAACAAAGACGATGGTATCTTTGGGTACTCTGTATCCATAGAGGGTTGTGTCTGTGAGCGTGACATGAGGAACTGCAAGCGGACCTACGTTTCCAACTCGAAGGGCTTCTATAATGGTCGCTTGGATGAGAGGCAGACGAGACCGGTTTTCCAAAGAAGGAGTCTGGTCACCAACTACTTCATCTAACTGTCGCTGAACGTCTTCTTGGTACCTTGGGTAATTGACCAAGAATGCTAGCACCCATTTCATTGTCGTGCTTGTGGTTTCATAGCCTGCTGCAAACATGTCTTCAATCGTGTTGATGAAGTAGTCATCAGTTAGGAGGGCGGTTCTACACTCATTTCTCTCACCTTCAGCTTCAAGTTTGGCATGAAGGAGACCTGTGATTAAATCTTTTACTGGTTTCTCTGGGTCAAAATTCCTTTTGCGTTCATTCAGAAATTTGCGAATTATATCAAACATTTCAAAGAAGGGGCTTAAATAGCGTTCATAAACTCTTATAGGCAAGTACTGTGCCAAGGGAAAAAATCTAAAATCGTGGCCAACTGAGAATCAGCAGCATTCGCTACTGATTCTACGTTTAATTTCAAAAGCTTGTTCAAATCTGGATTGCTTGTGTCGTAACCTTCTCCAAATGTGATGCCACAAATGACATCGGCAACAGCACGCATCAAGCAATCTGCAGGATCAAAAGGTTGTCCTTGCTGTTTCTCCATGGAGAGAACTAACTTTTCGCCTTGTGTATTAACGCGGCTTTCTATCAGGGGGATGTCCGCGAGGTATTGGCGAAGAGCTGTTGTAAAGAGCTTGCGATGAAGCTTCCAGCCAGGACCATAGTTTCCAAAAACAACATCTTTACCTCCTGAAACATTCAGAAAATTAAAGGGGAAAATATGACACTTTTTTTTCCATAGCAATGATTTCACGTGACGGTTTTTCAGGTGTTGTAATGGTGACGGATTTAGGAAAACAAGTCTTTCGAAACAGCCTTTACCCAATTCAAGTAAAATTAAAAAAGTGACGCGATTCCTTGAGCTTCATCATAAACTGTAGATGACCGAATCTCAAACAAACACTGACATCCGGCTGGGGCCTTTAAACTGGCGCCTTAAAACCGCCAACGTTATTTGTCAATTTCATTTCGGCTGTTTGGAACGATTTAGATGATCGGGCTGTTCTGCACGTTCAGAAGAAAACCAGCAACGATTCAGATTACCTGGATGATCATCCGAATACCAGCCTTAGTACATAAAGGTGTTGAGACATTCAAACTATGATGAATGATGAATTCTAGTCAACCCCATATTTATATCCCTGAGACTGAACTTAAATCCCTCCCCTGGGTTTTGACTTGAACGAATTATGTAACAAAGGTCATTGTGCCTTGTACGTGAAATTTACGTATCTTACAAGATGCCTTTTCAGTGTTGACGAGTTTTTTACTTAAATTAGAGCGACGTCACGATTGCCTGACTGTTCCACATAACGTAGGGGCAAAAAATTACATACAAATTACATACCAAGTGTTCCTTCCATTACCGAGTATGTTTGTTGTCTCCCAGCATAATCAGCGGATTTCTTTATTAGCACCTCTTTAACAGCATCAGGAGTTGAAGCCATAACCAACTTGAAGCTTCCAAGTTTCATCGAGAATACGCGGCCATAGTTGTCTTTGAGACTGGAAAAAGGAGAGTTATAATAATTGTGCACCAGTCTATTATGCTTTCTTCTGAATTATCTACAACAAGTAATTGATAATGATATGTTTTTTGAAGTGGACTACAGAGAAAATCTTGTGCAAAATATAACTTTTGAAACTTGTGTACGAAAAAACATATCGCCCACATACATGTAGGCCAAAAGTTGAACTTTAAATGAGACGAGCCAAATTTAAATTTGGATTGACTCGATGTAAATTAAAGTAATTCAATTTAAAATGTTGTACTTTCCAGATTCTCTTCAAACTTGGCACAATTGATAGTCATGAATACGACATCGAAACAAAATGTAAACGATCGTTTAGATCATTTGAATTTTCATATAAAGTACTGGACAAAACTACCACCCTGTTTTAAGAGCTCTTAGCCAGTCTTACGGTGTGCTATCGTGGCATAAATATTGAGTACAGTGAGTGTATTGTACGGCTTCAAAAACGTCTGTCCTTCTGATGTGGATCTATTCATTCTTGTACAATCATTTAGAAACCTTGAAAATTTTAGCTGTCTGTTGTATCAGACATATAGACACTCATTAAAGTTTTCTTTACGCATTAGACTTTAAACTAGAAGTAATCAGAGATAATGGAAGAGAGGTTGGTTAAAGTTTATTTCATCAATTCTTTTAAAAACAGTGACCTTAGGCCCAGTTCACGAGACGTCGAACTTTTCATGTACCGAACTTGATACCTATTTAAACAACCCAAATGATACAAGTTCGACGGTTGATTCAGACGCAAAACTTAGTTAGTCGGACTCAATTCATTTTTGAGTTATTTTGAAAAAATACTCATATGTCAGTGGTGTGAGCGTATGTATCTTTGTCACTTTGTGGCTTTGTATGTTCGGATGTTTGTTGCAGGAACCATTAAGGTTGAAGGTACTATGAGTTGATGCTAAGGAACCAATGAGATCTTTGCATCTATTAAACATGGCATTGCTTAAGGACAAACAAGAACACTTTAAGGCCGCCATCTTGACTCTTCACAATTTTTTCGTCTTTTATTGCGACTACAGATGTTTAGAAACTTTACATTAAATCTTCATGATTCAAACGCTGTGTACAGTGATACAGCTGTTTAAGGGTTCATATTCTATTTTATTTAGTAAAGATGCGTAACTTCGGTAGAAACAGTAGCGTTAGGGAATAAAATTGGAAGAAGCTAGTTGACCCAATACTAATTATTTGGGCGTGGCCCAAATAGAGTAATGGAAACGGCTTGTTTTGACGCAAAAGTGCAATAGGCACCCAATGCGTGCTAACGTAAACAAGCAAGTAAACAAGCGAAGCGAGGAAAATGTCTTGTCTTCGGAATCTCACGCAAAATGTAATTTTTAGATCCTCAACACTCCAAGGCGGATTCGTAAAAAAAGCTCTTCTAGTATCTCCAATTTGAACTCGAATTTGCATCACCATATTGACACAGGCAGACTTTAAAAATAGAATACGCTCCCACGAAAAACCTGAAAACAGCACGTGATCAAAACATGTTCGTACGGCGCCAAAAACGTTGTCAATTTCACGACAACGTTTCATTGGCCAAAACTGACAGGTTGAAATGTGAAACTACGCGCAGAATTTGTCGCGCTTCAAGGATAGTAGTAGTCCCGTGATATCATTTGATCCGAAATTTTTCTAAGCAGCAGTAAGAAGCAGTTTGGATAAAATTTGGCGACGGTGTTTGGAGGAACGTATTGTTGAAGTATGTTATCGAGGGTTAAACTTACAAATGCACACAAAAAAAAAAATAAAAGAAGTTGAGTTGAGATCTCGTCGTGGGAAATTTATTTAAAACAGAACTTAAAATCCAGTTGGTTTAAATAAGGTTAGTCATTCCCCTCGATGCGGTCGTGCACCTACATATTGTAGCAGACTACCGATGAAGAAATTAAAGTCTTTGTCAAATAAAACACGGAAAGTGAGACTTTTCGTATGGAAGAGAATTCTGAAAAATGCACTTTCGCCGTCTAAACTTCATTGTTACGTTGATAATAATATACATGAAAAAATTTCTCGATTGTGATTGGCTAAGAGGAATGCAGGTTTTGGGTAACACGGTGCAGAAAAAAGGTAATTGAGTGCAGAAAAAAGGTAATTTAGCGCAGAAAAGACTAACAAACGTGACATTCTGATTGGCTAATAAACAAAGGAACTCACTGAGAGCCAATCAAATGCGCCATCTAAATGGCGCAAAATTTGGATCCGCTCCGGACCAGTTTCGTGCAAAAACCGCAATGGCTGGCGTTTGCAGTACATTTGCTTTTGCGACCGAAACAACTGTAGAGCAGCTGAAAAACTGCTCTAAAAACGAAAACACTGCGAAAAGCACTGGTTTTCTCTGTTTGGAAGAATTGGTGCGTAGATAAGGAAATTACTGATGAAATAGAAAATTATGAGCCGGCTGAGCTTAACACTTTTCTCGAACATTTCTACGCCGAAGTAAACAATAAAAAAGGTGAAGATTATGAACCAGAAAGCCTTAAAGTAATGATGGCATCGCATGATAGACACTTAAAGAACAAAGGCTGCACCCTGTCCATTGTACGTGACCGAGAATTTAGTTCGTCCAAAGAGGTGTTGGAGGACAAAGGGAAACAGCTTCGCTTGGCTGGCCTTGGTGAACGTCCAAACAAAGCTCGCGCAAGTATCAGAAGAGGAAGAAGAAATTCTCTGGAAAAGCGGAAAACTCGAGGTAATAACTCAGAATCTTTAATTCAAACACATTGAACAATTCCATGAACTGTTCGGCCCGTTTCTGCAGCTTGCAAACTTTAAAAACATCGAGCAAAATGTTGTTTTGACTGCACGTGTGATCATGTTTGCAGCCTTTGAATAATTTATTTTTGCACGCAGTTTACGCGTGTTGACTTCCTATTAAAGAGATTTTAAAGCTATCCCGCATTTTTTTCAGGAATATTACTAATAAGTAATCACATGATTTTTCTCGTGCAATTTTGGAATAAATAAGCACGAGTAAATTTTTTCAAAGACCACAAATTGCACTCGCCCGAATTTTGTTAGCCTTTGAAAAAATTTATTTGTGCTTATTTATTCCAAATTGCACTCGAAATCATGTGATTACCTGTACAAATAGAAATGGTTTATACTTAAACCGGTACAGAAGTAACGGTAAGAGTGTGAAGTTTTTACAGAGGGCAAGTCCAAAATGAGTTCGAAAACAAGTGAAGTTTATCTGTCGTCTAAGCATAAACGAAGAGGCTATTTAGGTGGGGTGAGGTATGAAAATAGGGTTTTAAGTAAGTATTTGTCCCTCTGTACACGCAGCTATCCAGTTTATAGTGCTTACAAGAGTTTGATTCACCGGGTTAATTTTGGCCAATTTAACCTTTCTACTGATATCGAGAAGAATCCAGGACCTTCAGTTTATGTAGATGCTACAAAAGCGATTAATGCTCCATACTTTCAAGGAAACGTTGTAGTATTTGGGGAAAAGGCGGACAACAATGTGTTGCAATGAGTTTGTGTGCTTTAATTTACAGTAAGATAAGAAAGATTACTTCAGTCGATGATATGATTCAAATAATGACTGTTGGTAACCAGTTATATTCTAGGCTTGCTTGCAAGACAATTTATGTTAATGTTAACAGAACTACAAGAAATGGTTACAGTGTTTGAGCGATTTTTCCAGCTTGAATACAGTGAAAGTTATACTTGTAGCATGCATGGTGATGCCAGAATTGAGGGGTATCACTACTGTATGCTACTTGAAACACTCTTGGCCGAGA